CTAGACCCGGAAACGGTGTGGCAACTGATCTCCCGCTACGCGGAGAACTTCCACCAGTATCTTCCCCTCGTGCCACGGAAGTATTTCACACGCGCAGCACTAGACGCATTCGCCGCCAATGAGAAGCACCTGCTTACCGCAGTCCTGACCATCGCCTCCAAGGATTTGGTCGACCAGCCCGAGATCCACGAGTACTGCTCCAAGTACATGCACGAGCTGATTTCGGGCATCGCCGCGGGCGCGGAATGTGATGTTGAAGCGGTCGAAGCGCTTCTCTTACTCGCCGAGTGGGAACCTCAGGGACTGCGGCCGCGCATTGAGCGCGTTGGGCGCGGAGAGGAAGACCGCGCGGCGTGGATGCATGTCGGGCTTGCGTTGCGCTCGGGGTATTTCATCGGCATGGATCGCACTTCTTTCCGTGGGGATCCTTACGGGGATCATGAGAGTGAGGCTCGGAGGCGTCTGGCCTGGGCGAGCTGCTATGTCTCTGATCGATTGATTTCTGTGCGTATTGGACGTGCTTTCTGGTCTCGTGGCCCCGGACCCATGACTGGTCTTGTCAGTCAGGATTTTCCGTCGCTGCAGCCAGTCAACGATGGCGAGGAGGACTATGCGAAGATCTTTCAGGCTATGTTGGATCTTACGCAGCTTTATGGGAATGTTCATGAGGTTTTATATTCGGGGATGCGTACTAGTAACCAGATGATGCTGATGGGAGACTATGTTAAATATGTGGATGACTTCCGTCTGGCGATTCTGCGGTGGAAGTCACTTTGGGGGTCATTGGACTGTAAGTTGGCCTTTTCTCGATTATTTGAGCTTCTGGGTATGTCGGTTCTAACATATCTAGGCTCACCACCTATGCGAGCAACACTGCAGTTGTCATACGAGTATTTGCGTCTGTATACAACTGCTTTCGCGTTCCAAGCTGCGATCTCGCAGTCGCTAGTCAAACCGAAAACCGACCTACAAAACCAGCGAGAACATCTACGATCGACATTCAAGAACGTAGCTTCGATGCAGGATTCGCGGTTCATCTATGAATCCGTTGATGCGGCCAAGTCATACCTGACAATCTTGGTGGATCTGGTAGATCCTGAGAAGCATCTCCACTTCATGCCTCTCCGCTTCTACCTGTAAGTTTTTCTTTCGTCGCGTGTTATTTCGAGGCAAACAGCTCATGCGATTTAGATATGGCATCTACTCTGCCGTTTTCCTCTACAAGGTAAGATCCCTGTTCAACCCCTCTTCGGCATATCATCTAACCGATATCATAGGCTCGTTCGTTCGGAATGATGGTCCCATCAGAAGAAGCAAAAGTCCAAGGCCTAGTCATCCGAACCACCGAAGTGCTCAAACAAGCAAGCGCCGGCACCGACGACATCGGGTCGCGCTATGCTCGCCTTCTAGAGCTTCTGTGGAAGCCCAAGTCCACATCGAACCCATCCGAAGAGACACAAAATAGTGACTTCCCACTACAAACATCCCTTCCAAACCCAGTCACAGACCCGGGATACATGAAATTCAGCCCCGCGAATGACTTCTCATGGCTAGATTTGGAGGCCGTGGGCGATTATGTATCCGGGGACCAGATTTCTGGTGGCTTATTGGGGCTGGACGCGTTCCAGAATGCATCCGATATGTACCAATCTGGAGAGCCACGCTCGCAGACCTGGCAGCCGTCTGCTTGGATGGGAGATATGAGCAGCAACCTTCTCTTTTAAATGCTTGGTAATGGCTTTATCCGTGTGGTACTTATTATGTGACACCCCCACCCCCAAATCTGACGGCAAATGATGCGGGGCTTTGCCGGGGCCTACCCTCGGAGATGGCGCCGAGGGGTAACCGAGGCCAGCAACGCAGTTCTTTCTGCTTTGCCAGATCAAACTTGGAGCTTTAAGAGTTTACTTCTGCGCTTGATCATTGCATATCGTCAACATACGTATCAACTCTGTCGCATCATGTCACTTAACGAGATCCAGGGTCGGCTTGCGCTCATCACCGGCGCATCGGGAGGGTAAGCTATTCCCAACTCATATCACCCCAACACGGCGAATGAATAACTGACAATTAATTTTGTAGAATTGGATCTGCCTGCGCACACCAGCTCGCCCAACATGGAGTGCATCTCGCCCTGACATACGCGAGCAACCTGACCGCCATGAACGCGCTGGTGACCGATCTGCAGGGCAAGTACGCCAATAACAAGCTCCATATCTCAATCCATAAAGTGGACGTAGGTTCCGCTGACGACATCGAGACGATGTTCCAGCAAATCGATATCGAACACGGCCACCGACCTGATATCCTGATCTCGAACGCCGGGCACGGGAAGCGGATTCCCCAAATCTGGGACTGCTCTCTCGAAGAGTTCGATCATACTATACATGTCAACCTGCGCGCTTCATTCATTCTCGTCAAGGGGGTGGTGGAGCATATGAAGAGCCAGAATTGGGGGCGTATTGTGTTTATGTCCTCGATTGCTGCGCAAGGTGGAGGAATCAATGGATGTCGTATGTATAACTTCTTTCCTTCTCTAGGGAATACCAAACTGACTCTGTTTTAGATTACGCCGCCTCTAAGGGTGGTCTGACAGGAATGATGAAGAACCTTTCTACCCGACTGGCTGAATTCAATATCAGTGTTAACGATGTGGCACCTGCCATGATTGGTGACACTGGTATGATCCCTAACGCTGCGGCTATCCCTGAGGTGGCAGCTGGGATTCCGCTTGGTCGCCTCGGGACTCCCGAGGAAACGGCCAATGTTGTGACTATGCTTGTGAAAACAGGCTACATGACGGGTCAGAGTCTTTTGCTGGCTGGAGGGTTGAAATGAGCAACCCAATATTATGAAGAATAGTATAAGAAGTGGAAATATATCTCATGGCCTTTCGGGCCCTACAAGTTATCACGGTTATCACCTCAATTTTGTATATGCAATTTTGTTGTTCGTAATCCTCTCCACATATATATCCATCTTTTTGCTATTGTCACAATTCGGGTATTTTCAAACACAATCATCATCATCGCCGTCGTCCTCATCAGCAAATTTACAGAGAGCCATTAGAGCCCCGTCGGCTCTCAATAATAACCTTTACAACAGGGTTCCCTTCCTCATCAACTCCCTTTCCGGCAAGGGTAAACGCCCGCTCTCCCTCCTCCAACTTGAGTCTATGGGTAACGACCTTCTCCTCAACACTCTTCATCTTTCCACTCGCCAGCAGCGCAATGGCAGCGGGGTACGCAGATCCATCATAACGGAACACACCAATGATATCGACCTCGCGCAGCGCGGCCGCACCAACAGGTAGCGTCTGGATAGGATTTCCCATACCAATCTGCACCAGCACACCACCGGGCGCACTAGCATAAATACCCGCCTGCACGCAAGCTGGCACACCGGTACAGTCATAAACACGACTGAACCCGTTCACAATGAGTCCATCCTTCGCACCGACGGCTTTAATCAACGCAGCGGCAACCACCTGCGCATTCTCCAGCGCATAAGCCGTCTGCTCAGCATGCGGCGCATCCTTCGGCGGAGGCGGAGTCTCAGACCTAGGAATAAGCGCTGTCTTAAGACCAAGGCCCATATCCTCCGCGATCTTGAGTCTCCGCGCATCGATATCCGCAACGACAATCGCGGAGAAATTCTCACTAGCCGCCAGCGCGCCAGCAAGCAGCAGGCCGATAGCGCCGGCGCCGAAAACCAGCGCCGGGGTCTCCTCTCCAGCAGCGCGGTTCTGCTCAACCTCCGCCTTGCTCGGCGGGTGTGAGCGACGCACAGCGTGCAGCGTGACGGCGAGCGGCTCGACGAGCGCACCGCCTGCGTCGCTCACGCTGTCTGGGAGCAAGTGGCACATGTCCGCTGGGTGGTTTGTGCGCTCCATCAGCGTGCCGTCGAGGTGGGGGAAGGCTTTTGCTGAGCTGCGGAATTGCATGGCTTTGCAGATGTTGTAGCGGCCTTGTTTGCAGAGCGCGCATTTGCGGCATGGGAGGCCGACTTCCAGAGCGACGCGGTCGCCGACTTTCAGGGTTGTCACGGCGCTGCCGATGGCTGTTACTGTGCCGGCGGATTCGTGGCCTAGACACATTGGTGCCCGCACGACGAAGTCGCCATTGCGTCCGTGGCTGTAGTAGTGGAGGTCTGAGCCGCAGATACCTGTTGCGCGGATGGCGACTTGGACTTCGTTTGTAGATGGGGCGGTGATGGAGCGTTGTTCCTGGGTTTGGGTTAGTTTGGTCCGAGTTGGTTAGTATTTAGAGTTACTTACTAGGCGGAGGTCTTTGGCGCCGTGGAGAACGAGCGCGGTGGTGGTTGTGCTTGCCATAGTGTGTAGTTCGTATAGAGAGTAGTGGGTAAGAGTTTCAGAGAGAATAGAAGAAAGGATTGAAGTAAATAGCGAAGAAGTAGCGAAACCCGACCTCTGACGGCATTTGGAGTCAACTCGGCCCGTTGGTGCCCCTCTACACATCCAAAACACCCCACTTGGTCGTCGTGGGGGGAAAGTCTTGGGCCCGGAGGTGCTCCGCTGTCGGTTATTGCACCGAAGGGGAGATTTGGATAGCCGACGTGGGGGTGATGATTCTTGAATTTGCACTTGGTAGAAGGTCAAGAAGTAATAAGTGAAGAAGTGAAGTTAATGATAATCGTTGTATAAGCAGATAAATGTAGAAATTGAGTAGAAATGTTCTAGGTTGATGTATAAGTATGTATACGATCTATAAAATCCATACATCTATATCCACGACACTGTCGGAGGAGCCCCCGTTACGACATGGGGGTTATGCGATAGCGGGGACATTTGAACCTCCAATGATCTTCTGATTTCTGGAATCTTGGAATTTCTTCTTTCTTTTCATTCTCAGTTGCTAATCTCCTAATTGCTCGCTTCAATCCCTCAATCCTCTCTTGATACACTCCTATAGAACCTTAGGACTCTACAAATGTGAGCAACCCCGCTGACATCATTTGGCGCATCTAACATTAGCAGCAACATGGCAACACAATCAGCTCTCCTCATTGGAGAAATCACACACGCGCGCACGGAATGGGAGAGCCTCTCATCTTTCTTGACATTGAAGGTAAGTGATTCGTACTGCGCCGCGACCGAATCTTGCTCAACAGACAACTAGGAATTCCCCAGCGGAACCAGAGAAGAGTTCATCGCAAACTGCAAGGCTGGCAAGTATGACGATGTAGTCGTCCTCTACCGGTCCAACAGCTCCACCAAGGTAGATATCGGCCTTACCTTTCACTTCGAGTTATCCAACTGACAACGCATAGTACACCGGTCCATTCAATGCAGAGTTGCTCGCAGTCCTGCCTAAATCTCTCAAGTACGTCTGTCACAACGGAGCAGGATATGACAACATCGACGTTGCCGCCTGCACGGAGAAGAACATCGCTGTGTCCAGCACCCCAGTCGCGGTCAACAACGCGACAGCCGACGTGGGCATTTTCCTGATGATCGGCGCTCTGCGCCAGGCTTACGTGCCTATTACTGCTCTCCGGGAAGGTAAGTGGCTAACCAGAGCGGAATGATATTCTTTCCCAGTAATCGGTGACTAACCATAATTCCCACAACAGGAAAGTGGCAAGGCCCGATCACCGCAGGAGGAAAGCAGTACAGCACTACCCTGGGCCATGACCCCAAGGACAAGGTCCTCGGAATTCTGGGCATGGGAGGCATCGGACGGGTATGTAGCACAGAAAGTGATATACCACCTGACCAGAGCTAACCATGAGCAGGAAATGGCAATTCGCGCCAAGGCCTTCGGGATGAAGATCCAGTACCACAACCGGTCCCGTCTATCACCCGAGCTGGAAGCCGGCGCGACATACGTCTCGTTCGACGAGTTGCTCGCCAATTCGGACGTGCTCAGCTTGAACTTGGCCTTGAACGCATCCACGCGCCACATCATTGGTGCTAATGAGTTCACCAAGATGAAGGATGGCGTCGTGATTGTTAACACGGCTCGTGGTGCGCTGATTGATGAGAAGGCGTTGGTTGCGGCACTTGACTCTGGCAAGGTATGTATTGCTGCGCTATACTTCAATGTTCCTTCCATGAATATGCGGACAATCCCGGCTGACTGGCTGTTCTATAGGTGCGCTCTGCTGGTCTGGATGTGTATGAGTGCGAGCCAGAAATTGAGCCTGGGCTCGTTAGCAACCCTAATGTTATGTTGCTGCCGCACATTGGTACTGGCACTTACGAGACTCAGAAGGATATGGAGATTCTGGTGTTGGATAACATGCGGTCGGCTGTTGAGAAGGGTGAGCTTATTACACAGGTTCCAGAGCAGAAGAAATAGACAAAATAGGGTATATAGATATGGATTTATGAAGAATAAAATTGTTCCGTTCAATCATTAATGATCAGTTTATGAAGTATAGTTGTGACTTAAGATGTTCCCCTAAGTTGATTGTAACAGTGAACCTCAAGGCTGAAATGTGGGGCAGAAACCAATGACTAAGCTCTGACATAACTCAAAAATAATCCACCCAAAGCGGCTAGCGTTAGGGCTCGCTTAGGGCCAGAGCGCCAAGAGCGAAAAAAACCGCACCAAATCTAGTGGCTCAAGCGAGAGCCGGACGACGACGAAAAGCGACAACAACTCATCACCGAGGACCATCACACCCCCCTCGCCAACTCCTTCAAGATGGTGAGTGCTGCATGTCCCTGTCATCGATAATGACCTTTCGCAATCCCATTCTCTACGAAATGCCACTCGTGTGATGCACATTCAATGTCCGATCGCCGGGTCGACTTTCGCTACATCACCAACACCCAACGACGATCCCATTGCTAACGAGCGATGCTTTTCACAGGTCCGTTACGCCGCACAGGAGATCTCGGAGGCCAAGAGCGCCCGCGCGCGCGGCTCTTACCTCCGTGTCAGCTTCAAGAACACCCGTGAGACTGCCCAGGCCGTCAACGGCATGAAGCTGTCCAAGGCCCTCACTTTCCTCGAGAACGTTACCAAGAAGACCATGGCCGTTCCTATGCGCCGCTACGCTGGCTCCACCGGTCGCACTGCTCAGGGTGAGTCGCCCTTTTGAAGAAATTTCCGGATGGATTGGAGTTTTGGATTTTGGGGAGGACGAACAGCATCACCAATATACGACAGCCACTGGGATGTGAAACGAAATGACGAGGAAAATATGAATGGGTTACGAGGATGGATTTCTTGGCTTATTGGCGATGCTGTGCATTCTACAATCTGGATGAAAATTTGTGAACGGAGTCGAACATCGACTGACAATTTTCGGTTTACAGGAAAGCAGTTCGGTGTCTCCAAGGCCCGCTGGCCCGTGAAGTCCGCTGAGCACATCATCGATCTGCTCAAGAACGCCGAGGCCAACGCCGATGGCAAGGGTCTCGACACCAGCGCTCTGATCATCAAGCGCATCCAGGTCAACCAGGCTCCCAAGGGTCGCCGCCGCACTTACCGTGCTCACGGTCGTGTACGTTTTTCCTAAGATTTGGTTGAGTCGGTATCCAAAAATGCTGACCTTTTCTTTCCAGATCAACCCCTACATGACCAACCCCTGCCACATCGAGCTCATCCTCACCGAGGCTGCCGAGGAGGTCAAGAAGGCCAGCACCGACAAGCAGGTCCGCCTCTCTTCCCGCCAGCGTGGCACCCAGATCCGCCGTGCTCTCATCGAGGCATAAACGGATCGCCATAAGAAGGTGTGAGGGGACGTGTGGTTACGCAATGTGAAAAGATTTTTGCGGTGGACGGGAAGGATCGGAGTTCTGTGCATCAGCTGTGTATGTTGGAACGGACTCGATACCGGATCATACAAGATTTTAAGGTCATGCCAACACTCGGAGGAGAACCCAATAAAAAGTTTAAACGATATGGCCCAGGATGATGGAAATAGGATTCTGTACTTCCCGATCCAATCATGATACAAACGTGGTTCTTTCTCCGTGACTCTATCGAGTGATTTTTCTTTTGATAGAGAGTGTTCCATTTCTGTCTTGTTTAGCTCACACCTCTGTCGAGGTTTCGGTCTTTCGGTCATATAATGTGATCTTATTTTTTCTGTTTTATATATGCATTATCTGATCTATATGATCTATCGTAACGATGAGTGGATATCTCGATGCCCAGAATTACCTTTATATGCACTTATGAGGGGATTTTTGGTAGATATGGAATCTTGAGGAAATTCTGCCTATACCACTTCTAGTCCCCGACAATCCTTATCTAGGAACCATGCCAAGGTCATTGATCTATAAGCAGGGATCTAAATGCGGGGGTATAAGTACTCTGTAGTCCAGAACAGAATACACTTCGAGATTCCCTCATCCAATCTACTCCCTCTCTATATATATCACGATCAACCCAAAATGACCAGCCTATCAGACTACAGCCTCCTCTGCTTCGACGTCTACGGCACTCTAATCGACTGGGAAAGCGGCATCATCGATGCATTGGCACCAATCCTCTCGAAAAGCAGCACCCAATTCACCCGTGAACACCTTCTAACAACCTACCACGAGCTTGAGAGCACCCAACAAACCGCAACCCCGGACCTTCCATACTCAGACCTGCTAGCAGCAATCCACCCCACCCTCGCCGCGCGCCTAGGCCTCAACCCGCCAACGGACGAGGAAAGTCGCCAATTCGGCAACTCCGTCGGAACCTGGCCGGCCTTCCCAGACACCGTCGACGCCCTCCGCCGACTGTCAAAGCACTACAAGCTGGTGGTGCTGTCTAACGTGGACCGGGCTTCATTCGCCAAGTCCAATGCCGGCAGCTTGCAGGGTGTACCGTTTGATATGATCCTTACCGCGCAGGATATTGGCAGTTACAAGCCGGATCCACGGAACTTTGAGTTTATGTTGAGTGCTGTGCAGCGCGAGTTTGGGGTTGAGCCTGGACAGGTTCTGCAGACGGCGCAGAGCCAGTTCCATGATCATCAACCTGCGAGGAAGGTCGGCATTAAGTCGGTTTGGATTGAGCGGCCTGGGGCTTTGATGGGGAATTCGGCGGATCCGATCTTTGATTGGCGGTTTAAGACACTGGGGGAGATGGCAGATGCTGTTGAAGCAGAGTAGAGTACGATATCAAGTACTTGGTACTTATAAATATATGTCTCATGCATAATGAAATGATGTACCGTCTACCTACCTTCGTTCGTGGCTGAGTCACCAGGGTCAAAACATCATGGATCCCTGGGCAGGTGAGACTAATTGCCTGGAGCCTGATGGCACTCAGCTTGGCAATGCAGATTACCTGGATGCGTGCGTGGAAGGTGGCGTTGACCGCTGGGGACATTGACTTATATATATCTCATTGCTCGCTTTTATTGATCAACTAGCGAGGGCACCTATTGCTAGTTCCATACTAGTTCGAAGCAGTTGGGCCCCTAGTAGGATTATTCTTTAGCAATTTGATCCCTTTCTTCCCTTTCAAAAACCCTCCCCAAAAACAAGCGACTGTGCGATCACCATGAAGCGCTTCCTGGGATCTCTGAGCCGGCGCTCAAGTGAGTGTCTACTCTCCACGTCTCCCCGCAAATCACTGATTTGTACCTGAATATAGGCTCCAGCGATAGTGTCGAATACAGCGAAGACTCACCCGAAGCCGTTGTCCTGCAAGCATTGGTTTGTGCTTAGTCTCGAGAGATTGAATATGGCACACTGACACCTCCAGACTGCCTTCTGCGAATCGAATCAGAATGTGAATGCGGATGGATCTTCGCACGACGCGGTACGTGCCTCGGAGATGATAACACACCCCCTTTTCGAGACTGACAACCGATTCGCACACTCCAGCAAGGAACTGAATTCGTCTACCTCCCTCAAATCGTCGAAACCGCCGAGTCAAGCCCCAATGCCGCTAAGGAAGCGGCTCTGCGCATTCGCAAGTATCTCACCGACCCCGCCGGTACCTCGAACCACACCCAGTACAATGCGATCATGCTCATGCGCATCCTGGCTGACAACCCGGGGCACACCTTTACACGCAACTTCGATGCCAAATTCGTGACGACCGTCAAGGAGCTGCTGCGCACAGGACGCGATTGGAACGTGCAGAGCTATCTCCGCCAGTATCTGGATAGCCTCGAGCAAGAACGCGCATGGGACGAAGATCTCAAACTGCTGCTTCAGATGTGGGCGAAGGAGAAGACGAAAGCCTCTCACGGTCTGGTGAGTACATCATAGTCACCTTGCACGCCCGCCGTCCAAGACTCTAACTTGGCCAGATCGATCGTTTCCCAATGAATTCCGTCGTCCCACCGCAAGTCCCGCCTAGGTCTCACCCTCACCAACAGCCATACGGCCTGTCCCGCGCGCCGACAAATACCCTCCCCACGCCGGTGGAACTAGCAGCCCGCATCGAAGAGGCGCGTAATTCGGCCAAGCTGCTCACGCAATTCGTCCAGTCCACGCCGCCAATAGAACTGGAAGACAACGATCTCATCAAGGAGTTCGTTGACCGCTGCACGACCGGTTCGCGTGTTGTTCAAGGATATATCCACGCAACCAACCCGGCTCCGGACGAGGACACCCTGTTGACGCTCATTGAGACGAACGAGGAGATCTCCGTGGCGCTGTCGCAACAGCAGCGTGCCATGCTGAAGGCGCGCAAGATCAGAGGATCTTCGTCACCAAGCTCGTCTAATTTGAATAGCCCTTCACCGACGTCGCAGGCTGTCGCACCAGGAGTTACGAATTTCTCTCCTCCCCCCGTGGCGCCAGCTGGCATTTCAACGCGCAGCTCCGAATCCCCGGCACAGTTGCCTTCTCCGACTATGACTGGTGGTCGCCCACTTGCTTCTCATCCACTCAATTCCAATCCTGTCGGGGGATCTGCAACTAATAGCCGATATGAATACAAGCCTGAAGACTTCCAGGTGCGGAACCCTTTCGCGGATGACTATGCCACGAATGAATCGGAGGAGAGGAATCGTGTGCATTTTGATTCGCAGGCCCAGAGTGATCGCCGATAGCACGTCTCTCTCTCTTTTGTCATCGCCCAGTCTTTTTCTTTTTGTTATGCTCAACTCTGGTTGTGGTTTTGTCGATTTTTACAAGCGCATAGCCTTTGCCTTTTTTCTTTCCCTCTTTACCCTCCATGATACCTCGCACATTGTTACCCCACATATTCATTGGCTTTTACTGCGAACACCTTCAGCAGTATGTTTGATCCACAGGAGAGGAGCGTGCGCCGTCGTTTCATACCCTAGGTACATATACCTTCGAGGTAAATACATGCGAGTCTCTCACCCTCCGTCCTCTAGTGTTGTGCAGGGCATTGTCCCTCTAGATCATCATATGTATGTGCACACAGCTACCAGCAAAAGATCGAATGCATTGGTAGGAAGTCATAGACAGCACCCACAAAGAGTCCAAAAAAGCACAAGACGCCAATCCAAGGCTGGCTGCGTCCAGCCATTCCAATCAACTCGCCATATCAGACATGTCATCCTACAACAAATGACAACGCAATAAATACTCCCTTCATCTCATATCCTAACAACCTATTTCACTTACCGCCACAACGAAATATTCTTTCAATGCTCAGTCTTGACAGTAACACTCTCACTAGTCTCCGCCTGAGCTCCCTGCTCAGGCAAAGGCTTCCTCGCCCACACACGTCGCCTGTATAAAAATCAGCCCACACCCACAAGAAGCAAGGGAGGGAAAACATACGCGCGCTGATAAATATGATAGCGAGGATTCTTAAGCTCGGCCCTCAGCTTCGCAACATAAACAATAACCTCCTCCTGCGACCAAGGCTGCGGCGCCCCGAATTTACACAGCAACCACATAGCCCAGCCCTCCATACCAGACATCCAATGCTGGTAGTTGACCGTGCCAGCCTCTTTGTATCTCTGGTCTCGGGCCCAGGGGCCAATGGGCCACTTGTATTCTTTCTGACGGATATCCACGAACCCAGCCTCGCGGAGAGCGTCTTGCATTGTGTCGATTGTTTCTAGCGGGCGGCCGGCGCGCTTGCCGCATGCGGATAGCGCTGGGCCCCAGCTGCGGAGGACGCTGTCTGCTGGTAGGCTGTCGTCGTCGCATTCGATGTACGGGCTTGCTTCTAGTTGCTCGATCCAGCCGCCTGGGGTGATGTTGCTGATGGGGTTGGGTTAGATTATGGCATGGGAACTGGGAATAGGGATGATGATGCTTACTCGTAGCATTGCTTGTAGACGCGTTTCCATTCTGCGTCACTGAAGGATCCGATCATGATGCGCATGTGGATTAGGTCCTGGGGTTCATTCCAGGTCCATTCCTCGGCGATGTTGTCGACTTCTAGGAGGCAGTTTGGTGGCATCCATGTTATTGGTGGTGGGAAGAGGTCGACTCCGCGGACAGTGGCTGGGGTTTTGGTTAGTATGTTGATATGGTGAATTGGACCGGGGCTCCGGACTTACTTGTTGGGAACATGTCGGCTACATCGCTAGAAGAGGGTGAGTGGTGATCCTTTATGAAAATGAAAGGTCCACATACATGGCCCAGTTCCCGAGACCTGTTCCGAGGTCGAGGATGTTTTTGGGGTCTTTAACAGGCGACCGGAAAAGCGGGTTCTCTTGGTCTGAGTCCATGACGAGGGCTACCAAGTGGCTGCAATAGTCAGTTACCATTTGAACAAAGACCATATGTAAGAGAAATCCACATACCCAGCTTCGTAACAATCGAACTGCTTCTCATCCGATGGAATCCTGGCAGGAAGTAAGCAGGCAATACCTCGATTCGGAAACCAATGCGTACAGATATTCCTTGTTGCTCAATGTTTGATATCGCCGGCCATTCTCCTCTAACCCGCGATAAAGCGAGGAGCCGATCGAAGTGGTTTCCCTGGATTGTGTGAGAGATCTCCATATAGGCACAGAAATAAGACTTACGATTGCCAGTCATCGCCGTAAACGGTCGTGATATGGGTCGTGGGATCCTAACATTGTCAGAAACATAAATCAAAGAGATATGAAGTATACATACCACGGCAATATCATCCTCGGGCTCAGTATGTATTCTATTCATTGTAGAGTGTTTTCAGAGAAAAAGCAGAGTAGACGATCAAACTCGAGAGCGAGAATCCGGAACCTGCTCGACGGAGTTACTGGATCGAAAAGCATTGGACCACATGGCAGGAGCACATGGCATCCCGCTCGTGCATGTCACAGGCCAGATTAGGAAATGCAATTGTCGAAACCTCCGCTGCCATAGGCTTGAACTGTGGGCTGGGATGTGTGGCATTGTGGGGTGGGAAATCTCTTCCGATTGATATGAGCCGTCGGATTGGACGTCGTCTGGGTACTCGCATGCGGAATTGCAAAAGTACTCTTGTCTACCAATAGGAAGGGTCGATCTAAAGTGTGTATTCTTCACGGAAATCCTGCTAAGAATTCCGCTTGGCCTAGTGAGCCCACCTTGTTGTCTCAAACGGGAATAATATCACACATATTCACTAAAATCGTCAAAAGGATATCTATCGCTTTATAGTTGAGGTTGTCTATCTTCTATCTCCTCCGTATATTGTAGTGTTTTACAATTTTGTCAAAGAGAGATGGAATATGACGGGCATTTATGATTCGTAGCTATAGTTTCCGATACGAGAAATACGAGCATTTAGGTTAGTTGAGTTCCAATTTAGCGCAACATTAGGATATATTCTCCAGATACCAAGATAGGCTATCAATTAGCTAGCCTATGCGGGATATCCGGCCGGATGACGCCTCACCACTCGAACTATATAACCCAAGAACAAAACACTATCAACACATTCCTCATTGAATAACAACGTATCGAATTCCAAACATGTCAAACTCCCTTCCCTCCAAAATGTTCAGCATCATCCAAAAAACCGCCGCCTCCAAAACCCTCACGATAACAAGTACACCCCTCCCAACTCCAAATCACGCACAGGGAGAGCACCTCATCCAAATAAAAGCCTGCAGCCCCTGCACCGGCGAGCTCCTCTGGCCAAAGAACTTCCCTCCGCCAACAGCGCGCACTCTAATCCCATGTCCAGACATGGCGGGAATCGTCATCTCAGCACCGGAAGACTCGCCCTTCCAGCCCGGTGATGAAGTGTACGCACGCACAAACTATAGCCGGCCAGGAAATGCGCGCGAGTATTCCATCGCCGTTACGGACGAGCTGGCTCATAAGCCTACGGACCTAAGCTGGGTCCAGGCTGCTGCAGTTCCTGTCTCTGCGCAGACGGCTTGGCAGATTCTGTTCGTTCATGCTCTTGGTACCGGTGCAAATGAGGGAGAGATGGACCTGGAGGGTGCTAAAGTTGCCTGGTCTGGAAAGAGAATCCTTGTCACTGCTGCTTCTGGTGGTGTGGGCATTTGGCTCGTGCAGTTGGCCACGCTACTTGGTGCGGAGGTGGTTGGGACGTGTGGTCCTCGGAATGTGGAATTTATGAGATCACTTGGCGCGAAGGAGGTTCTTGATTATCGGGCAGTGGATGTGAAGGAGTGGGCTCAGTTACCTTCTAATAAGGTGGATGTCGTTGTTGATTGTATCGGGGGGAAGGCTCTTCAAGATGCGTGGTGGACTGTTAAGGATGGTGGTGTTGTGCTGAGTATCTATCAGCCACCTCTGCAGGCCTGTCCAGAGGGGTTTAAAGGTGAAGGTGTGAAAGATTTGTTCTTTATCATGAAGCCTGTGAGGAGACAGTTAGAGGAGATTTCGAAGTTGCTTGAGAAGAGGCTGTGTCGGGGATTGGTGGATAGCGTCTGGCCTTTTGAACAGTATGAAGAGGCATTCAAGAGACTGGATGAAGGCCATGCGAAGGGCAAGATTGTCTTTGATCTGTCATTGAATCGCTAGTAGCTGAGGTGGACTGATGTTTCTTGGGCACTGTTGCCATACACGAAGAGATGGATGTGGTGGTGCGAGTATATAGTGAATCTTGTTTAATTGCCTATCATTTTCCATTGGAGCATATCGCACAGAGTAAGAGAACAGTATCCAAGAGCCACTTAGGTAGGGGAGATGCCAATCAGGCTCTATAAAATACTCCGGTGTCATGATTGGTGGAATTTCGGCAAGCCGACGCTAATAACTTCAAACTTCACAATGCTCCGTCTCCTGTAAGGGATTAGCTGAAGCTCTTCGCTCGGAGGCATTGCGTACAAGGTATTGCATATGCGAGAATGTCCAATGCTAAAGGGTCGGGCAGCAGATATCAGATGATATTTGACTGTGTGAAATCCTGACAGCTCATGAATTTCCTATTTAGATTCATCGGATCTAGTTCGATTTCCAAAGCACCAAGTGGACTACCCGGGAGAATCCTGGAACGAAATTGGAAAATCGTCCGAAGAGAACTGCCAAGTCATGTTTATTCTTCCATCTCCACGTGTTTAATCAACTTCAAGCATCCATAAAACTCCATGTCTCACCTGTCACCACCCCCCATTGGCAGCCCTGAGGTCTCCATCAACGTGAAACCCGGCGCATCCCTGTTCGGCGCGTGGAGCCAGGCTTGGCAACCCTAGCCTCAGGAACATCTCGTCTCCAGACGATCATCCAGTCTGGTTCAATATACACCCGAACCCGAGGCCATATTGCCCTGTGCTTGCCGCCAGTCTGACCAGTCCCTTCCGGTGGGGAAGCGCTGTCCCTTGAGTATATCCGATGTGTTTCAGTATGATACATCATGGATCCAGGCCTAATCGCTGTTCATGATGCCTCTGGTAAGTGGTAAGCTACTGTTTCTAGTTGATTAATGTGCAGCTCAGGTAGACCTCCTTTTGAATATGTCCACTATATAAGCAGCGACATACCATCGTGGCAAGACCAGTTCAGCATGCTGGTCAGTCTTTTTTGAATTTCATTCACATTCACATTCATTTTCTCCGGTTTGAGACCGTGCAGACTCTCGTTCATCAAGTATACATTCATTCATCGGTCCGGTTTACCGATTATTTTCATTCACTTCCCGACATCCCAATTCACTAAACATGAAGTCTTTCACCCCCGCCCTGGCTTTCGCCAGCATCATATCCTTGGTCAACGCCCATGGCTTCGTCACCAGCCCGGCAGCCCGCGAGCCCGGTACCGCAATGGGAGCCGCCTGTGGCCAGCAAGTCCTGTCCAACCAAGAGTCCGACAAGTACGGCAACATCCAAGGCGAGCTGCAAGTTGCCGCCACCCAGACCGACTACAACGCCGCCGAGTGCGACATCTGGCTGTGCAAGGGCTACAAGTTCGCCGACAACCAGGCCAACATCCAGTCCTACACGGCAGGAGAGGAAGTCGCCTTCACTGTTGATATTCGCGCCCCGCACACCGGTGTCGCCAATGTCTCTGTCGTCCAGACTTCTTCCAACACGGTCATTGGCAGTCCCCTGATCTCCTGGGATGTCTATGCATCCGTAGCCACCGGCGTCACTGCCAACGAGACCAGCTTCAGCGTCACTATTCCCGACGATCTTGGAAGCCAGTGTGCCACCGCCGGTGACTGTGTGTTGCAGTGGTACTGGTACGCAGAATCAATCGACCAGACCTACGAGTCGTGTATCGACTTCACTCTCGGTGGATCTGGTAGCTCGGCGGTTGCGTCCACCTCATCCACCTCGTCGACCTCGTCGATCTTGTCGACCACCAGCTCTACGGTGATTGCTGCCACTACCACCCCAACTGCTGCTGTTGTTGAAACCCCTACCACGGCCGCTGTTCAGCCTACAACCTCCACCACAGTTGCCGCTGTTGTTGAAACCCCTACCACGGCCGCTGTTCAGCCTACAACGTCCTCCACCACAGTTGCCGTTCAGCCTACTACTTCCACCACCACGGTTGCGGCCCAGCCTACTACTTTCGCCACCACTGTCCGTCAATCGACTACTTCTGCAGCGGCGCAAGTCCCTACCACCAGCGCTGACGCCTCCGCTACTACCTCGGCCGTACCTTTCCCCACTGGTAGTGCTGCAGATGTCCTATCCTGGATTGAGTCCTTGTTGGGCAACTTGGTGGGTAATTAAATGCGGAAGGCGCGAACCTCGGTCCACTAAAAAGCGGGCAGCGTAATGTCGCACATCATGTTCATCTTATCTATCTGTACCTCATATGTTAGCTAGTAGCTAGATATATCGGTAATTGGATGTCGGATTTACCAGCTTTCTTCCTCGTCCTGGATTCCAATGCAACGCTGTTCATAGCGATATCGGAGCGATCACCGAACATCCGACATCGCCACTTCCTGATTCACCCCATTAAACACGAGATATCAATATAAAGACAAAGTATTGCCCATACTACCAAACAACTTCTAGTATTTAACACCATCAAAACAATGTCTTGTCGCCTGAATCCCACAGCAACGAGATTACTCACCCACTCTACAAGAATCCCAATCCCAACCCCAAGACCAATCTACAGACACTTCGCCACAACAATGACCCAACAAACCAAAGACTGGAGCGCAAACCAATACCTCAAATTCGAAAACGAGCGCACCCAGCCCGCCCGCGATCTCCTATCGCACGTGCCCCTAACAGCCCCAAAGAGAATAATCGACCTAGGCTGCGGCCCAGGCAACTCAACAACAGTACTAGCAAACCAATACCCATCAGCAAAAATAACAGGGCTAGACTCATCACCGGACATGATCAAGCGCGCAAAGAAAGTCCTCCCAGATCATAACTTTCACATCGCAGACCTGTCCACGTACACGCCCGACCCAGCCACGCCAGTCGACCTCTTCTTCTCGAACGCGGTGTTCCACTGGCTGAAAGCGGATGACCGTATCGCGGTCATTAAACGGCTGCTACAGCCGCAGCAAAAGGGCGCGGTCTTCGCGCTCCAGGTACCGCATAATCTGAACGAGCCGTCGCATCTGCTCATGCGCGAGACTGCTGCCGAGGGTCCGTGGGCGGCGAAACTGGCTGGGGTGCAGAGAGATGGGTTTCAGTCCCCGCAGGAGCTGTATGATCTGTTGAAGCCGGTTTGTAGTCGGGTTGATGTTTTTGAGACGAGTTATTATCATTCGTTGGAGAGTCATGAGGCGATTATTGAGTGGGTTAAGGGGACGGGGTTGAGGCCGTTTTTGGAGCCGTTGGTGGATGGGGAGGAGGCTGCTTTTTTGGCGGATTATTTGAGGCGCTTGCGGGCTGCTTATCCCGTTTCGTTTGATGGGAGGGTGTTGTTGAAGTATCCGCGGTTGTTTTTGGTTGCTGTGAAATGATTTATACTTGTGTGTATAGCATTATTACTGATTCTTTCTAATGTCGCACGGTTTTTAGCAATGGTATTTGCCGGGAATTCTAGTATTCATTCTATCTAACTTGATGGAAGTCTTGAAATAGAAAAATATGGCATGCATGGATCGATGAGACGATGGACGAGTTCACATCCGCCTTACTACCCAGTAAGTGTAGATAGAAGAGAGCACATTCCAAATAATAGCTTAGACTGTTCCCGAAGCAGCAATCTTAATGGTACCATCAGTCTTTCCAGACCGATCCAAGCTCTTGCTCTCCATCTTCTCGAGAATATCCTGACCAGAGACAACCTCTCCGAAGACAACATGCTTACCATCCAAGTGAGGAGTTTTCACAAACTAATCCAGTCAGAACAAGACATCTCCCATCAATTTCTTTTCCAACTTACAGTAATGAAGAACTGAGAACCATTGGTATTAGGTCCAGCATTTGCCATGGAGAGCAATCCGCCCTTAGTATGCTTGGTCTGGAAGTTCTCATCCGCAAACTTCTCGCCGTAGATAGACTTGCCGCCCGTCCCCTGAAAAGAAAGTGAAGATTAGCCGGAGCTCAGATTTCCCTGGGGATACCCGTGACTGACATTTCCGCGAGTAAAGTCACCACCCTGCGCCATGAACCCGGCAATCACGCGGTGGAAAGCAGAGCCCGCATAGCCGAAGCCTTTTTCACCTGTAGCGAGGGCGCGGAAGTTGGTCGCGGTCTTGGGGACGACGTCGTCATAAAGTTTGAACTCAATTCGGCCCCAATTCTCCACTAGTACGCGTGTTAGCGTCGCTGGGATGAGATAGGGGAGTGAACTTACCCTGGCCCTTGGGTGAGGTGTATTCGATATCGAAATAGGGGTTGGACATGATGAATTGGATGGAATTAGGTGATTCGGGGTAAGGTGAGAAGTATGTAGATTGATGAGCCTGGAAGGGGCGGGGTAAATAAATGCCCAGGTGAGGGGCTCGGACGAATATGCAGGAATGAGGTCATCTTAGGTCTGGATTGTTCAAATTGGACGTGTCAGGGCATATAGTTGGACATAGTTGGATATACTTGGACATCGGAGGACATAGTTGGACAAGGGTTGTCCGATTCATGGGTACCTTGGATGGCTCTTATACTTCTACAACTTCAATGTCACTTTGAATGTCTTAGACCTTGTTTACCAGTCAACATTTACTAGTGTTCTCTATGAAATTGAGGATAAAATAAATTTAGAAAGTTCATTGGATTAAGAAGGCTCTCAGACCGTCACAGTCATCTTCGCCAAGATGCTGCCGTCGCAAGTAATACCCAGGAAAGAGAATAAGAAATTGAAGACAAGTAAATGAGGCGGCAGTGAGAATCATGAGAAAAATGACCACGCAAAACTCCTATACCGAGTCTGTCTTCCCTCGTCGCGTCACCTCTGCATTGCCGCCGAAATCCCGATCCATCTAGTCAGAATCTTTAGATGCGCCAACCATAACATCATCCTCATTGGCATCTTTGTCGGAGGAAGCATCGGGGGCGGCAACTTTAACATTCTTCTCAAGCTTCTGGTTAAGTCGCGAGAACTGCTTCTGCAAGGTTGAAGTCGATTTGCCCGTCTCTTTGGCGACAGCATTCCAGTCAATCTGTAAGACAACGTAGTCAGTATTGACATGCTATAGTGTGTTTAATCAGACATATCAAGATATCTGAGACACTTGCCTTCATGCTGCTAGTCTTGATACATTTCCACAAGAAGATCACGTCCTTATCAATGATAGCGAGCGAGATCCTGGCAGGGGAGGCTTTGGCAGGGGAGGCTTTGACCGGAGTTCGCTTTGCAATTCCTCCTGCCTTGACTGGTTTGGTCACCTTGGCCTTGGGGGTGGTTGGCTCTTTAGCCATGTCGATAATAGCAAACTTGAAGGTGGATTGAGTAAGAGCTGTCTGAGAACAGAGCTGTGGCTGGAAATAATGTTTGATAGATGGAGAAAGTGAGTAGAGGAAGGGAGATGAAAGGAAATTGATTGTGATTTATAGCTGGTGTTGCTGCACGTGAGTTGACCCTCTGGGCTTTCGACCAAGACCAAATGCACTCAACGACCTACTGTACCGTACTCAGTGCTTCTTTAATAATTTATTTCTCCACAAAGAACAGTTTAGGATGGAAATTGATTTGAGGCATAAGTGTCCTTATACCAGACCAAAGAGGTTTGATTGCAAGGCTTTGTTCTATGCCAGCGAATGCTTCCAAAAGGAAAATCTCCCTAGAAGCCAAAACCTACCTTCGAGGTCAGATCTCGGGTGACACAGCACCACTATCTTGCCTCACAACACCTCCCTGTGAATATATTGAGAAGACCCACTATACTTGAATAGTGCTGGAATACTCTTTGTATGCCCTCTGGGCAGGAGCGTCTTGGTCAAGTCATCGGGAGAAAAGGTTGCGGGGATTTTTGTATTGGAGGACAGCGTCGTTGCAATCGTCAACCAAAGGCAAAGGGTCATGCCCGTGTCCATTGTGCATTGTTGCTAGGGTATTAGCAATATTAGCGTCTAGCATTCCTTGTCTGAAAATGCTGATTCTCCTCTTCGACAAGCGAAGATCTTAGACTGGTATTGTGGTCATGTCAGTGTGGGCAGTCTCATAGACATAGTCGACATTGTTGACATCGAGCACGAATAAGAGCACGAATAAGAGTGCTTCTGTGGGTATATGTTCACGGCGAGGAAACAAGTTTCAGCGTTTGGCTGGCTTACACGAACCGAATCCTCGACCGTTGACGCGAATCGGCGTATGGAACCCAGCTATAACCTCCAATGTCGAGTACGCTGTTCGGTGTGTCGCCAAGTATTCGTATTGTTGTTGATCCAACCGTTTCGAGGAAGCCGTTGATGGTGCCTGGAATCTGACTCTTGATACGCTCACGGATCTGTCGAATTTGCTCTTCCATTTTCAGGGTAGGTTCTGATGCAATGCGGAAGAAGGGGGTTTGTTTACGAGGTTCGCGTTCAAGTCGAGTCCACACCGCCATGATGTCACTTTTCTAAAAAGGGAATAGCGCGGCAGAAACACTTGCCAAGGAAGGAAGCCATACGGAGTAGCTCTAGAAGACAAGACAGGACGTGGTACAATTCATTTTCTGCCAGATTAGGAAAGTACACGAAGTGTACTCAGCTATATTAATGATGAATACAAATTATTACAATAATGCACAAAGATTCCTATGCCTTGGGAGCACGACCATTAGCTGCAGCCACGAAATGACCCCAGCTGATCAACTCCTTGCTGCAGTCATCACGGTCGATGGCACACTCGATTAGAGTCGGTCCGTGTCGGTTCTTTTTCGCTGCTTCGATAGCCGCACGAAGCTGTCCTGTGGTGGTGGCGCGGAAACCGCGGCCATGCCCATCTTTCGCATTGAACGACTCTACGAACGCGGCATAGTCCCAGTTCTTGATGTTGTTGTAAATCCCATCATGAATCTCGACCTCAATGGTGTATCCAATGTTGTTGATGAGGAATATAGTAACGGGAATGCGCAGTCTGGTTAGTTGCGATACTTCCTGCGCTGTCATTTGGAATGACCCATCCCCGACCAGCGTGATCACTTGCCTATCGGGGTGCCCAACGGCATAGCCAAGGGATGCGGGGATGGACCATCCAATGTGACCCCATTGCATCTCAACCTCCAATCTGGTTCCTTCGGGAAGCCGCATTTTAATAGCATCGAACCAAGCATCGCCGGTATCAGCAAAGAGGGTTGTCTTCGAGGTGACGATATTCTGGATCTGCAGACACATCTCCTTTCGTGTGAGCTTTTCATTCGTGTGACTGGCAGTCAGGGTTGGCTCGGCTGGGCTCAACCGTTTATATTCCAGCATTGTTGCCGGGTCTTTCTTCACAAGATGTGACAGTCCAGACAGAAACTCTTTCAAGTAGACACGAGAGTATTCTGCTCCCGGGAGCTGAATCTGGTCAACGTCGGCCGTCACGCGTATGGAATCGGTCGGCTCGCTCGTCCAGCCGACAGTGCTATAGTCGGTAAAGACTGTTCCAACGCAGACGATCACGTCGGACCAGTCCACGATGGACTCAGCACCCAGCGTGCTGGCGAGACCCCAGTAAACTCCAGCGAACTGAGGATGATTCTCCGGAAAGAATGACTTGGCACTAGGCATCACTGCCACCGCGCAGCCTAATGCTTCCGTGAAGTCTCGGAGAGCGCCCTCGGCTTTGGCAGGCCTGACTTTTGGACCAACCAAGATCGTAATCTTACTTTTTTGTGACAAAAAGGTGGCTGTCTTGTGAACAGCCTCCTTCAGAACGGCAGGGTCACTATGGAGAGGCTCCAAGATGACCGACGGTGGTCCCGGGGGCGCACACGGTTGGTTGGACAAATTTGTAGGAATCTCGATGTATACAGGTTTCTTAGCACGGAGTGCTTTGCGGATGGTAAAGTCGATCAGTTTCGGCGCATCCAAGGCGCGACGAATTGAAACCGCAGCGACCGTGATCTTTTTCGCCATTTCCAACTGATACTCAAAGTCATGAGTCCCGAGCGTGTGGTGAAGTAAGTTGAAATCACCTGAATCGTTGGTGTTGGGAGAGCCACTGATGAGAATGACAGGGAGGTTTTCACCATAGGCACTCCCAATGCCGTTGAAAGCTGAGAAAGCACCGACGCTGTAGGTGACAACACATGCAGCGACGCCCTTGGCTCGTGCGTAGCCTTCAGCGGCCATGGAGCAGTTCAATTCATTCGTGCAGTTGATCTCGTTTAGACTGGGTTCCTGTTGCAGTTTGTCCAACAGGATCAAGTTATAGTCACCCGGCACTACGAAGTGCCTCTCGATACCAATCTGAGCCAGCCGGGTGGCTAGGTAGCTTCCGACTGTAGTCATGGTGATTTATGGTGAACAGGTTCGTGATAGTGTAGAAAATAATTGAAAAATAATATGGATTGACTTGATAATAGAATTGTGCCCGCGTTCAAGGCACAGTATTTAAATCTGTTGCGCGGCACAAGCTGTCAAGTACAATGTTCTAGAGCTCCATATTACCTCGATCTAGAACAATCGTGAATCATACATATCATATGCTCTTACACGCATGATTAAGAGCCTGACTATACACATTGTGCTTCCGCTTACAGTTGTCTATGACGTGGTAAGGCTGAGGGATATAGCTAGCCACCGATGCAAGTGAACCTCTCAAGCACCACGATCAACCACAGTTCCAAGCTAAAGCTCATTGATATAAAGTTTCTTTGACGTCTACACGTGGTGTGATGCAGCACCGAAAACGTCTGATTCGGCCGAAGAGGTTCCAAGGATAGTGAGCTATGTGGCGATTTTCGATGTACAACCTCCTATGAGAGATATACGGCTTTATTCTCCAAGGTATTTTGGTATTAGTTTGATGGGACTGGAAATGTTTAAGATCCATATTTGTTTGTTGTATTATGGCTTTTAAACTGTAGCTAGAGCATCTGGAGGCATTTATTTGAGCAGACAATATTTTTTGGATTTGATTTTATATATTATATTATAAAACAACTTTTGAAGTTCATAAAGATCCACGAAGTAAATAGACAAGTAAATGACAGTTTTGAACTCAGTCCGCGTCAAGTTCACACTGAACTAACTCAGCGTCACGCTTGTCTCCACTTGGCCGTTCTTTTCGAATTGACCAACGCTAGAAAGCGTTGTGTTGGCGATCGACTCGAGAGCTTGACGGGAAAAGAACGCCTGATGACCTGTAACGATAACATTGGGGAGGGTGATCAGCCGCCGGAAGGTGTGGTCTGAAACTATCTGCTCAGATAAATCGCGGAAGAACAGCGGCTTTTCGTATTCATAAACGTCCAGTGCTGCACCCCCGACATGCCCACTTTCCAGTCCGTCAAGCAGAGCGACAAAATCAATCAATGCCCCGCGTCCGGTATTGACTATGGTGACACCTGGCCTGGTGATCCGAAGAGTATCCGAGTTAATCAGATGCCGAGTGTCTGGCGTCAAAGGACAATGTAGACAAATGACATCAGCTTGTCGAAGTAGCTCTTCCTTGCTCACGTACTTGACGCCGATGGAAACCAGCTCAGGATTCTGAACGATATCGCACGCAAGAACTTCACAACCAAGGCCGGCGCGGAAAGATCGAGCGACCAACGAGCCGATCCGACCAGCACCAACAACTCCGATCGTTCGACCGTAGAGGTCTGTACCGAGAAGGCCATTGAGTGCAAAGTTGTCCTCCCGAACACGTAGCCAGGCTTTGTGGATTTTCCGTTCTAGACAAAGAACCAGCCCGAGTGTGTATTCCGCCACTGCATTGGGCGAGTATGCAGGGACGCGCACCACCGTGATCCCGGCCTTTTTGGCAGCAACGAGATCCACGTTGTTGAATCCCGCGCATCGGAGGGCTATCAACCGAGTGCCATGCTCCGCCAGCTTGTGAATCACATTGGCGTTGATCTGGTCGTTGACGAACACGCAGATGGCTGGGAAGCCAGAGGCCAGAAGAGCAGTCTTCTCACTTAGACCTGCCTCGTGATAGGTGATTTCATGTTTGAATGCCCGATTAGACTGATCCAGCGATGCCTTGTCATAGGGCTGGGCACTGAACACGGCGATTCTCATTTTAACGGCTTTTGTAATGTTCAATTGAGGTTTCGAAGGGAATTCTCTTGAGACTGCTTCGACTTTCTTGGATACGATTGAACATTTTTATAACCGTCTGTGTAATTGCAAGTTCAGTTCATCTACCTTGGATCTCTTCAGCCACGTCGGCCGAGACGGAAAAGGATATACCGAGTAAACTCCATCTCAGATATCAGCCATTTTGATCGACGAAAACAAAGTCAATGAGCAAGATCATGCCGTGGCAAAAATATTTATTTCGTCATGCGTCTGTACATGACACAATTTAGAAGCTCTACGGATTCTAGAGCTTCAATTATGTGACGTGTTGACTCGTTTCACTTCAAGAGCAAGTTCGATCTACAGAGGAGGTTTGACTATAAATAGTCGCGATTGATATTATATCTAATAATCAAATCAGAAAGCAATCAGCAAGCAATCAAAACAAAGCTTTGCACACAATGCAATCCAATTCAGCCCGAAATTCTTCAAAAAAGCCTACAATTGCCATCGATCTCCATGTTAGTTCTGAAGCCTCACTTGATAAATGCATTGAGCACATACTGATTACAAAAGCCGGTCAAAATCGCCATCGTCGGCGCAGGCAATGTCGGGGCTTCTACCGCTTACGCTCTTCTTCTGAGTGGTCTCGCAGCCGAAATCGTCCTGATCGACCTTAATCGACGCAAGGCCGAAGGAGAAGTAATGGACTTGAACCATGCAGCTCCCTTCTCACATCAGACCAAGATCACACTTGGTGATCTTGAAGACTGCTCTGAGGCAGCGATTGTCATAATCACAGCTGGCGCAAACCAGAAGCCCGGACAGTCACGGTTGGATCTCTTACGGATCAATGCCAAAATCATTGAGGACATTGTTCCAAAAGTCACGCAAATGGCCCCATCCACCATTCTTCTTATAGCGAGCAACCCAGTCGATGTCTTGACCTTCCTGAGCTGGAAATTGTCTGGGTTCCCGCCGAGCCGCGTGATCGGGTCCGGTACTGTTCTGGACACCGCACGCTTGCGCGACACTCTAGGCCGACGATTGGATGTTGACCCGAGTAACATCCATGCAGACGTTATCGGGGAGCATGGTGATAGCGAATTGCCAGTGTGGTCGCGGGCCAATATATCAGGTATCCCGTTGGCGGAGTTTTCCCAGCAGGCTGGTCAGGATGCACAGGATATCATGCAACAATCATTCCAAGACACCAGAAATGCTGCTTATGAGATAATCAAGCTGAAAGGCATGACGGACTATGGTATCTCTGCTGGCTTGGTGAGGATCGTGGAGACTATACTCAGGAATGAGAACACGCTTATGACTGTGTCAACGGCTGGAACCTTTGCAGGCGTGAGTGAAATCGCGTTGAGCATGCCGAAAAAGGTAAACCGAACCGGGGCCCACCATGTTATCGACATCAAGCTGTCTGAAGAAGAAAGTCGGGAACTGGAAAAGTCGGCGCACACTATCAAATCTAGCATAGAATCTTTGAAGTCATAATGTCAGAATGTCAGAATGTTTTATCAACTGCGGGATCGTCTTACCGTGTGGTTCCACTCTTTGACAACCACGGGACTAGGTAATGAGTACACAAGGTTGAAGCCAATCATTTGAAAGTATTAAAGATAGATTCCTTCCTTTCGCAGTCTAGTATTCTAATCGACTATACACTATTCACAGCCTCGATTAACGAGCGGCTCTGTGGTGGCCTCTCCCAGCGAAAGCAATATTGCTCCATCTTCATTGCGGTGAATCTAGACCGGCGGCCAGTCATCCAGTGTGGCTTGCCATCCCGGGTTGTACCTATCTCGAATGGTACATCGTAGTCGGGCGGTGTTGGCAGGTCCGGCCATGTAACTCGGTGTGGTGCTTTGAGATACCTTTCCATATCCCCGTCGGCTCTTCGCGTTGCTATCCATTCGCTCAAGAAGTTGCGAAACTTCGATACGTCAGAGTCAAGTTCGCGATTGACGATCCATTCGATACTTTGCACCATGTCTATATGTCGATCCCAGTGGGGGATATCCGAGAAGGAAGTATCATTCGTGATAAGCTCGTAGAGTGTAAAGGCGATACCAGTAACATCATCTCGACCTTCGTATAACCGTCTCTTCCCGGATGCAGCCCAGTCGAAGTCGAAGACAACGATCTTATTTGTACAAGGATCGATCAGTAGATTTCGGGGAGCGATATCTTGGTGCATAATCCCTAGTTCTAGGTTGAGAAAATCCACGACTTGAGTAAGCTGTTGCAGCCACTCGAATCGAAAAGGGATCTTTGGATTGGCGAGAGTTCCACCTAGGATGTACTTCGTTGTGAAGCCAATTACCCGGGACTCCTGGTCTTCAAGGACAACGCGATCGAATGGTATGATATTAGGATGTGGCGGCAGTCTCGTAAGAATGTTGATTTCATCCCAGGCCATTTGCATTCTCAAAGGCTTATTCAAGACGTTAAACTTGAAAACAACCTTTTGGGGAATCCTAGATTCGTTTTCGTACGATACAATATCAACGCCTGGTCCAAGCCGGTCAAGCTCTTGGAGCTTAGAGTACTGGATTGTACGGCAATCGGCTAGCGATCCACATAGTGAGAGAGGAATATATGCAAAAAATAGAGTTTCGTCCTCTTCTGGATTTGTCGAAACCCCGGTAAGGAGCCCATCGTCGTCGACTGTGATGGCGCGAACTTCCGGCGATAGATTATCGACGAATCGCGCCAAAATCGAGAGCTCCCTATCTTCTTCGGGTGGAAATAGTTTGGCGGTGCCTTTGATCTTGAGCATCCGAATTTGATCCCAATCCCAGACGTTGCAATATGTTTCGGTGGTGGGGTTGTCTCTCGGGCCGTAGTAGTTCTGGCCTTCGGACCAGAATCTGTCTTGAGGGTTGATCATGGCAAAAGTCGCGTGTGTCTAATGTCAGAAAGCTGCGTTGGCAGGGCTGCAGCTTTAAATTTCAGGATTCGCCAGTTCGCTGAGCCGATTCTCGAAATGTCACTCAGCTTTTGGAAAAAGTGGCCCACTTTGTATGGTGAAATGGTCGTGCACGGCCCACCCCCATACAAAAATTGTCCCCCGCAGCAATTTCTAGCCACTTGTACTGCAATTTGCATTTTTACACCCCAAATGTGGTCGGTGGGTATGTGTAGAAGGGATCGGGGACCGCGATAGTGACTGCGTTGTGTTGTACCCGCTAGTTATATAATTCTGTTAAGCATTACTCCGTAAGAATCAACTCATCCGACCCCCGCATCTTAGCGTAAATATAGTAATTAAGCACCCAGGACCAAATTTGGCTGGCCTGCTCGTTTAGGAATACGTTCGCCACCTACCTTTCCAGACTAATAAGAAATCTAAGTGCACGACGACGATCCTAAGAAAGATAAGTATCAAATCAAATGGAAATGCGTCTAGCCTTCGTGCCCGGCTCGGACTTGCTATCAAGTAGGGACTGGGCAGAATTGAACCAGCGCTTGAGCTTGGCGGCATTTTTCTCCGCGGACATTTCGATCTCGACTCCCTGATCCTCGATATCATTCATGTACTGTTGCGCGTGTTCTTCAATATCACCCATGTGCTTTTGCGCTTGTGCTTCCATTTCCTTCATACACTCATTGGCCGTATTGTGTATCTCGGAGTTAGCGTCGTCGACCTTTTCACCCAGTCCGGCTTCGTGCGTTTTGCATTCGTCGAAGATTTGTTCACGACACTCGCTCACGGCTCTATCGACAATCTCGTCGACAATATGTGATTTGAGACGGCGCTCAATCATTTCATCGACATATTGTTTGAGGTGGCTCTCCATCGTCTCAACATTGGCAAATCTAACTTTCTCAGACTCGAATGGCCGGTCACTGTCTACATCTTGTGGTGTGGCCAGCAGATGTTCCCGTCCTAATCGGATTAAAAGTTGGCGGATCCAGTCATCGGAAGCACCACGGAGTTCATCTTCAAGGCGCGCAAGTCTGTTACGCTTTGTGCGGCCAGGGGAGGAAGTATGCGTAAAGTACGTGGGGCGGATTGAGGCCGACGGGGAGAGCGTAGTACTCGGTGTATTGACTTCCGTGGGAGAGCCTAGCGGTTCAGGGGATGTAAGGAGCTGTCTTTTTCGGCTTTCATCGTCAGGTGACATTGACCATAGGTCTAGATACTATTAATGAGCCATTGAACGACAAATTACAGACGATAAGAAGTGACAAGATACCTCTGGGCCGTTTTCCAACCACCTGCTCAGACTGCTCAGAATACAGGGGTGGATCAACCTGCTTCACCCGGTCGGAGACCCGCTCCTCAGAATACGGGGGTGGATCGAGCAACAAACTGAAGGGCCAATCTCTCTGCACCATGCCATGCCGAGCGTAGTCAAAATGCTCTGCCTGAAGACTTCGTAGAGCACCCGAGAAAACTTCTAGCTGATTAAGTTCTTTGTCCACAAATTGTCGTTTGGAAAAGTGTAGACGTAGAGATGTAGATTGACAGATCTTCGCAAATGCGTCAAGATCTAAGTCTTCTTGATTGGCTGGACTTAAAGACTCTACCCCAGATGGACAAAGAAAAATACCGGTCTTACTGAGTACCAGACTCAGTGTTGAGACGGCCGAAACGTTGGTCACGGGCGCCGGGAGCTTGGGGAGCAAATCAGATGAACAGAGGCCGACGTTGCTTATCCGGGCTAATTCACATTCTTTGACTATTTCTGGTGGGATATTCAACGTCAGCACCTGTGATCTGCCGCTCAAGTTAGCAAGCTCTGCCGTAAACCGAAGGGAGATAGATCCTTGGTCGGCGGTTTTATCGTGGGCAATACGAAGGCGAGCAGAACAACAAGCCTTGAAATCGGGTGTGTAGACAAGGACTGTCTTCTGCAGGACCCAGAGCGGGTTTGGCGATCTGGTGGTCATTGTGCGATATTCGCTGGATTAAACAGGAAGACCCTCGAAGAATCGAGAAACCCTCCCACCCGGGCTTTCAAATAGTGTTGAGCAGCCCTGACTCGCGTGAAATGTGGAATGAATGATGATGATAAGAAGAGAAGAGCAAAGTGGTAAAGCTTTTGCGGCCTGGCCACGAGCACATGCCCAATCCGAAGTCAACAAGTGAAATCGGAGAGTCCTATGAGAACACAGGAATGGCAGGACTGGCGACGAGGACGGCAAAGAACAATACTTCCTTTACAGGATGATGATGGTGATGATGGTGAGGATGATGAGGATGATGGTTGGTGGAGGAGAAGGTGGAGAAGGTGAAGAGATGCCCAGAGGATGGAAGAAGGGGAGGGGAGGCTGGGGAGTTTGACCACGTGATTTATCACGTGATCAAACATTATGGATTTAGCGTCTGAACTCGTGGAGCCCGGATTTCCGTCCGATTTTTTTTCACGGCTGCCATTTTAGGATCAATAAAATTTTAGAGTATTCAAAAAGGTGTTTATTGGGTCAAAATTAGGAATTCTTGTGATGGGGTGCCCCAGCGACCGTGATACATCCACCCCGACAGCGAGGTGCCAAGAAGCTATGGTGGGGCATCAGATAAGCTCAGCCACAGGGGAATCTTGGAATTATTTCCCTGGCATGAAGGGTTTCTTTCATCTCAAGTCCTATTCACCAATTCATCCCATTCAATTCATTCATCATGGAGGAACATCTACGCCACAGTCTTTCAAACCATCCTCATGCCTTCCAACACTTGCATCATACTCATAGCGGCTCACCGTCACACCGGAGTGACAGAATGCCTCCACTAGCCATCAACGAAGGGACCACCACCGCCCTTGAGCATGAGCTCACCACCATTCATCAACACCGCACTGGTAGTTCCAGTGATGAAGAAAGCCTGCCGCCACGTTACACCTCTGAAAGCGATCCGTTCCAGTTGGCCTCGAAGCTGAAGACCGAGGATGAGATCCGACAGATGAAGGCCAATACCTCGCGGAAACGGGATTCCACCACTGCGAACAAAAGCCGGAGAGTGGGAGACATAGTGGGAGACACTACCCGTCTTGGAAAGCAGGCCTTCGTCACAAAGAAGCTGCAGGGGTTTTACGAGTCCCAAAATGAAAACATCGAGCGCATGCTGAAACCCGTCGAGGAGCACCGACGTGCTGCCCGCGAGCTGAGCGTCGACAACCGTCTCAAGTACCGGATTGCTGTCTACGGTAGTTTTGCCGCGAACATCATTCTCTCGGTCATTCAGGTGTACGGTGCCGTTTCGTCCGGATCGCTCTCTCTGTTTACCACAATGGCCGACGCCGTCTTCGACCCCATGTCCAACATGACCCTTCTGCTGTGCAACAAGGCCGTCAATCGCGTTGATCCACGCAAGTTCCCTGCTGGAAAGGCCCGCATTGAAACCGCGGGCAACATCTGCTTCTGCTTCCTTATGACCTCGGTCTCTTTCATCATCATCGCCTTCTCTATTCGCGAACTGGCAGCGGGCTCCGAGGAAGAAACCCAGTCTTTCCACTTGCCCTCCATCATTGCCGTCGCTGTCGCCTTTGCCACCAAACTTGCCCTCTTCTCTTACTGTTGGGCCCTGCGCAACCAGGTCTCCCAGATCCGCATTCTGTGGGAGGATCACCGCAACGATCTGTTTATCAACGGTTTCGGTATTCTGACCTCCGTCGGTGGTAGTAAGCTGCGTTGGTGGATCGATCCTATGGGTGCTATCATTCTGTCCGTGCTGGTCAGTGGGCTGTGGCTGCACTCCGCCTATGGCGAGTTCCAGTTGCTCGTCGGCGTTACTGCCGACACCAAGATGCAGCAGCTCATCACGTATATCTGTATGTTCATTCCCTTTCGGTTCTTCTAGCTCTTGGTAAAGCATTCACTAACATCTCTTTCAGCCATGACCCACTCTCCTGTCATCACTGCCATCGACACCGTTCGTGCATACACCTCTGGCCCTCGCCTGCTGGTCGAGGTGGATGTCGTCATGGATGCGGAGGCATCCCTGCGTGCCACCCACGACGTTGCTGAAGAGCTCCAGATTAAGCTCGAGTCGCTTCCCGACGTTGAGCGTGCCTATGTGCATGTTGACTACGAGACCACCCACAAGCCTGAGCATTCCGTGAAAAAGGAGCTCTAAAAAGTTTGCTTGACAGTTTGGACAGCTTTAACACGAAGTCCAACCTGCTTCAATTTTCTTCAAATTGTTCAGTTCTCTTCGCGTTCTTCAGGTTCTATGTGAAGAGTATTATTTGGCTGTTTCTTGTTTTATTACGCAATGAATAAATTTCTGCAGGAAACCATACTGTAACTTCAAAACGTAGTGCCTTTCCATATCTTCTTTGGGCCCTCGTCGGCACTAGTCAGCGTCGAATGGCCTCCCCAAGGGAACAGCCTGAATAACAGTTCTTATAAACCAAGCATTGACTGGCAGGATGTCGACGATTAGCAGTTTCTGGTAGTTCCCAGGCGACTAAGATAAACTGGTTGTAGAGCTCCTTGAGTGAGAATATGACAGAACACAGCCTGAAGTCTCCAACCATGTGATATGTGCACATGTGACTATAGTATCTCGTGCCTTCCCTTTTGGTCAAAAATCGTCACCAACCGCAGTTTCCCCCATTGACTTGAGTCACCACCCCCAGGGTATAAATACCTGCCCCCTCCCCCTCCTCCTCTTCTTTTTTCTTTCTTCTTCGTACCACTCTGGGTCCGCACTACACCTCGTTCCTGGAGTGGTCTTATTCTTTTGACTTTGGTCTCTGTGGATATCAGGTTAGGTTGTGGCACGAAGCATGTCTGAGGAGGTAACAATGCTCTACCAGTCACGTACTCCGACTGACCTCTGTGGATACGGACTGTCCAGCTGCTGCCCACATTGTCTTCATCTCCAACCCACTTTTTGGAACTTTTTCACGGAGATAGCCCTCTGTGTTTGTTGTTCCTTCTTTCTTTGATATGATTCCTCCCTCCCCCTCCTTCCCAACCCAGCTTCACGGGTCCTGTGTGTGGCACCTGAACAAGACTTGCACCTTTACGTGGTGTTCAGGATGAGTAGCCTTTATGGTGAAACCAAGCAAGTCAATATCTAGAATCTAGAACAGCTGCAATATAAAATCATCAGTACGCATTACAACATTGTGCTTCTTGTAAGGAACCACCGGACATTAAATTATTAGAACTAGTATCAGGTAACCTGCAGGTAGAGACTAGCGCCAGATTTCCCTTGTGTCGATCATGTTGATCAGTCCTATAGATCTCACACTGACGCACCTGGAATGTGATCTCGATTGTTGCACACTACAATGCCTAATTTCTCCGATCACAAGCTACAACAGCATCTCTTGCGATTTTCTCTCTACAGAGCAAGAAATCAACATACACACTCTATATCGAGTTTCCCTAGCAGTGCAGGAACTATTTCCCACTCATCCAACTCGCCGCATGCTCGACTTCTGGAGTTGAAAAGATCGACACAGTGTACACCATCGTACATTATGCATTCAATAGCTGAAGTCCAATGTACAGTACCCCTTATCAGCCCCTTGTCCCAACCAAAGCAATATTGCCCGCAACTACTGTCTATAAAAGCCACCCATCACGCCACAAAACCCAGTTCCATCATCTCAAGTATTCCCGTCTTCATACTACCACAATCCATACCTCAAACCTCCACAATGGTCCACCTAAAAGCCCTCCTCACCCTCGCCCTGGCAACCAGCATCACCGCAACCCAAACCACCTCTACCTGCGACGACGCCTACAACAAATGCGTCACTGCCCCAGGCGCCAACATGTCCACCTGCTTCTCCGATCGCGAGGCGTGTCGACACGGCCAGACCAACTCCCGCGCAATGTTACACTTGCGACACCCGGTGCGCGTGGTCTCCGCTGAAGGCGATTGTCAAGAGATCTTCGACAAGTGTCGCTCGGCTCCCGGTGCCAATATCTCGACTTGCGTCTCCGATAAGGCTGCTTGCGATGATGGAGAGAGCGAATGAGGTGTTTTCGGTATATAGAGCTTTGTCTGTGATGGATCCTGTAATAGGTCTTGAGAACTCTAGATAGTGCGCGAGAATTGTACCAAGAACAGAATGTACCATAAATTATTCAGTATCCATATTAAAATCCCAGGCACCGAGTTGCTCTATACTGTATGTATGTATCCTTCTGATCTGACATCTATCCCAGTGACGGTACCGGCGTACACACGGCAGTCAATGCGCGCTGCAGCTCGCCCACCTTCCGTGATAAATAGGTATTCGCCTGTCCGCACAGATTATTCTCACCGCGTATACTCTCAGCAGCCTGTATTCGATGCTCGAGAGCCTGGCACACGTGAGATAAGATCTGCACCTCCCAAAGCAGTACTTGGGCTTTCATCTTCGTCTCCGTGGCGTGGGAGAGATTAACCACGTCGATACCCAACGGGGTGGTCAATGGGATAGCAAGTATCGATTCTTTCATACTTTCAAACGGTCGCGAGAGACCTGTATTGCCATTCAAATGATATGGTTGTGGCGGCAAGCGTGCATCTTCGCGACTATCCAACGATGGAGTGGCCGGCCCGCCAATCTCAGATTGGTAGAGTGCTTCATACCAAGTTAAGACTTTCAAAAGAATAGACCCGAGAAGCAGGAGCTTGGAAGGATCCCGTGCGCAAGATCTCCCGGTGCAATTCAATAATCGAGAAACCGTCTCCGTGGCGGATCGAGTCGTGCGAAACACAGCATCACTTGCGGGGGATTCCCTCAGGGTTGGTGGTTGGAGCATATTGCGAGACTGGTTATCGTTGCCTGCGTGTCCATTCCAACAGTCGGATTGAACGAATTCGTACAGCGAGGAGAGCGTCTGACATGCTACCGCGATACAAGGTTCGTGTTGGTCGTCTTCTGGGACCTCTCGCGGCCGGACCATGCTAGGCCATGTATATCCCGGATTGGGCAAATGCGGGATTCCTGCGTTCTCATCCGGTGATTGATGAGTCAAGCTCGGAGGCAAGATATTTGATGTTCTCCTTTCCCATTCGGTCGGGGTTGGATAATTGGTCGTTGGGAATGGTGGAGACCGGTACCAAGTAGAGTTGTAGTTATAGTTAGGCTGGTGATGATTCGGGCCCATGGACCAGAATGGTTGGTGGTCAGGAAGGGTAGGGAGAGCCGAAAGGGCTGGAAGTGCTAGAGGGGCTAGGGGAGCTAGAGGAACTGGAGGAGACATCTGGACTCGAGAAGGCGGAGGATGAACAGGTGGATGGGCGAGTTCAGTTGTAGTCTTGGTAGACGGTTTCCCCTTTCGTCGCGAGCGTCCATACACGCATTTAGAGCCGTTTAGGACACAGCGCGCACAACCGTGCTTTTCTTTAGTGCAGCGCACTTTCGAGGTTGCACAGGGGTCGCATGATGTCCGGAATGGAAGACGTTGGGGTTTGCTGGGCCTTTTCGACTGGTTTTGGTGATGCGTCTGCATCTGTATCTCTTGGGAAGGAGTCATCGACATTATAAAGGTGAAAATTGCATGCCATGAGGTCCCTGGGTTTTGCTTTTTCTTTTTAGGCCTGAAGATAAACCCTGTCATGAATCAGCCACATTCGGTTCAATGAGGTCTAGAAGATATAAGCCTGGCGAATGGCATCCAAGTATAATTACCAACTAGTGCTTATTGGTTGCGTCACTTCTCTTAGCTCCGTTTGCCTCCTTTTCTCGATAACGGAGTACCCCGTGTTTCCCTGAGGTTATGGGTGACCAGAGATATCATGCAAATAAGCTAATAAAATCACAACCTGGACTCCGAGACTATAAGCACGAAAGACATATCAGACCCACATGGCTTCGGGTTCCGACGGGGTTTTCATGATCTACCCGCTATGTATATTGCAGGGGAATTTACAAAATATGGGAAACTAACATCGCTGACTCTGGAAGACAAACAAGCTACAGGTCTAAAGGTCGTAAGATGTCATGGCATTGTATATTGTGATACTGAAAGGAAACAAAAGTCTAGTAATGATCCCATGAATGAAACCGAATGCAATGGTATCGAGCAAAAGACCCCCAAAGCGCACATCCGACGCAGAGAAAAGTTTAAGAGAAAGAAGTGTCTAGACAGAAAGATAGGAGCAGAAGACGGAGATTGAATCTCATACAACGGTGGGGGAAGTACAAAAGAAGTTAAATGGTATTGTTTACAACAATGAACGAGAACAGAATGAGAAAAAGAATGAATCGAAAGAAAAGGAGAGTAATCTAAGCAGACTGCTCAAAGAGAGCGATGGTGGAGCAGTAGTTGCTCTTATTAGGCTTCTCAAGGACCAAAGCCTTGCCATCGGACGAGGTGATCATGTTGACAGAGGCCTTGGTGCTGAGACCGTACAACTTGACGTCCGAACAGTCGACCTCGACCATGTTCTCCTGGCAGTCCTCCGAGTTGAGACAGGATTGGGCGTAGTTCTCGAAGAAACTGTAGAGACCGGCGCCGTAGATGAAGACGTCCGAGGAGCCGAGAACACGCAGACCCCAGGACTTGCGGCAGGAGTTTGTCGTGCAGTTCGAGAAGTCGGGGTCGTTCCAGGAGTCTTGCGGGGTAAAGGGTGTCAGAGCAGTCGGGTTGGACTGGTAGTACGGAGTCTCAGATTGGATGAGACCCATGAAGACGTTCTTGGCACTCGAGACCTGGTAGTTGTACAGCTGGTGGTGCTCCGAAGAGGTACCCCACAGCCAAACGGGGTTTTGCGACTCGATGAGCACACCACGGCCGGTGTAGACATTGATCTGGTTGTGATCCTTGAGGTCGAGCTCGTGATCGGCGGTCCAGAACCAAGTGTTCTCGAGGTAGGCACTACCCGTCTTGGTGATGTGCAGGAGCATGAAGGCGGCCATGCACTCCTTATTAGGGGTGGTCTTCTGCTTAGGGGTCTTGGGGCAAGTGTCACTCTGCAGCTCAGTACCAGCGGCACCACCAATGCGGAAGTGAACATCCCACATACCAGCGGAGCCTTGGGAAGAGCCAGCAACGTTCCACTCCATGAGGATAGCACCAGGGGCGGCGCCCTTGGTGGTGATGATGAGGTCGCTCATCTCGACAGAGCCAGTGTCACCTTTTTGGCCGACCTGGAAGACAGGAACAGGGTTCTCTTGGTCGGCGAACTTCTCGCCGGATGCCATGAGCATGGGCCAGATCTCACCAGTAATCTTGATATCCTTGGGGATCTTGACGGTGGAGGTGATGACATAGGCACCGTGATCAAAGTAGATGACCTGGCCATCTTTGTAGCTGTCAAACACCTTCTGGATGGCGGCAGTGTCGTCAGTAGTTCCATCACCCTTGGCACCAGCGGACTTGACGCTGATGAAAGAGGAGGCTGCGACGTCCTCGTACAGAGGCTTGGACCGCTCGAAGATAGCGCCTCCATTGAGAAGGCTAGCGGGCTTGGAAGAAGTCTTCAGAGTGCTCTGGGTACGTGCAGAGGCAACGGCACCCGAGGCGCCGCAAGTGGCAGTGCTGCTGTCACTACCAGACTGAGTGGCCTGGCTAACTGAAGAGCTGCTGCTAGTAAGTTTAGCAGACGCAGCAGTGGAGGTGACGGACGCAGCAATAGAGGTGACAGGCACAACATTGGAGGTGACAGGAACAGCAGTGGAGACGACAGGCACAGCAGATTGCTTGGCAGAAACCACACTAGAGGGCGAAGAACCAACAGACACCACAGAAGTGGCAGGGGCCTCACTAGAAGGAGCAGCTGCGGAAGTGGGCTCAGGGACTTCAGAAGCCTCAGAAGAGGATCCGCCGAGAATGGAAAGGACACTGTTGGAGGCAGAGATCGAGGAAGTCTGAGCAGTGCGATCAGAATCGCTGCTGGTACTAACACCGGGGACAGGCGAAGGAGCGGGAGCAGATTCAAGTGATGCAGTCTTCGCCGGGGCAGGAACGTCGCTGCTCGCCAGGCTGGTGCTGGTAAGACCGTACGAAGCGGGACAGGCCATGATAGTCTCCGTAACGGTCTGAATAACGGTGACCACCTCAGGCTCAGACTCGCTGGCGCGCTTGCTGACAGTCTTAGACGGGGTGTAGGTGTTACCCTGAACCCAGTTGTCGACAACAGAGCCACCAGCCAGGATGGTATTGCCATTGATACCGGCAACAGCAATCTTGGAGCCAGTGAAATCCACGTTATCCAAAATCAGGTCACCACCGCCAACGGGGATGCTCTTCTGAGTCCAGGCAGTGACGATACCAGTGGGGGTGTTAGTGAGCTTGCTGTCCAGCAGCAACACAGAGCCAACAGTCTGGTTGGAAGGCGAGGTAGACATATTGAGGCCAACCTCGCAGTTGTTGATCTGGACTGACTTGAAAGTCCAGGCCCAGTTCCAGTTCATGAAGATGGCAGTCTGGCAGCCGTTGAAGGTCAAGTTACGAGTAGTGAACTGCTGGTTACCGAGGAACATGCCGTAGTTACCACCGTTGAAAGTCAAATCGGACATGAAACCACCGGATCCGTTGTCCATGAAGATACCCTGCTGCTTGTTGGCGTCACCACCACCCTTGACCATCTCGAAGCGAATGTTCTGCAAGCTCGTAGCCTGGCCGACCTGCCAGTGGATACCGGCACCGGAGCCTTCTGGGACGCTGGTCAGGTCAATGACCAAGTTGCGAATGGCGCGGAAGAAGTTGTTCTGGTTGGTGAACCAGTTGTCGCCATTGTCCTCGTAGGGATCGGCATCTATCACAGCCATACCCGCGAAGGTGGCGGAGGCCTTGATGACGGGCAATTCGACAGCGTCACCGACGATCTGGGTGTAGTAGTACTGCACGATGGGCTTCGAGACAACATAGGTACCAGGCGGGAAGTAGACGATAGCAGGAGTGGTGGTAGAAGAATCACAGCCCTTGCCGCAACGGCCTCCAGAAGAAATAGCCTTGTTGATAGCCACAGTATCGTCAGTGGAACCGTCACCTATTATATAGTTAGCATATTACTCAGGGGTATACGATTTGGATGAATGACTGACCCTTGGCACCATAGTCCATAACATTTCGGAAGATCTTGTAGTCGGTGCTCGTGGCAAAGGGAACAACACCCTGACGCTCAACATTGGCGACCCAGTAGCTTGAGGTGGATCTCTTTTCGGTAGTGGCCAACACATTATTCACAGGAGAGACGGGCACGGAGAGTGGCACAGCTGCGACTAAAGAAGCTGGCAAGCCGAGCAAAAGGATGATATGGGCGACAAAGATCGCGATGGAGGTCTGTAGAACGGCCATATTGAAAATGGATAACGCTGAACCTGCAGCGAAGTAGAAAGAAGTATGTCTAGGGAATGCGATAGTTCAGCAACCAGTACTGCAGATATCGAAATAAGAATCGAGTCCAACGCTTGACCAGCAGCGATATGCAGGAGAGCAAAGAAGATTTAAAGAGTGAATCTTCCGATGCAGGGTTCCTTCCCAAAATAGAGACAGGACAAAGAGTGGTGCCCGAAGAAATGAATGAAAAAACGAATGAATGAATGAATGGAATGAATAGAAAAGAAGAAGAGAAGAGAAGAACGACACAAAATAGGCCACGACCATAGAGACGGGAGGAGAATCATACCTATAAGGCAAAGCGTTTGCAAACTTCCCCTTTCCAGCCAATCACACGCACCACAGCCCTCAAGTCCACCACACCCCACCAATCAGAAGGCCCAGCCTGGTGACAGCGTCGACGCTTGAAACGTGGTGGTCTGCAGTTGAAACGCTGAAGATGACTGGCGCTTGCAAGTGTTTCGAATCGAAACTTAGATATCGCTTCGAGTGGTTGGCAATTTCCAAGTCAATATGTTCAAGGTACGGGGTAGAACAGCACAAACAGCATTCAGACGAGAATAAACAGACTACGGGTCTACGCGCTATATAACCTGAATTCATACCCCAAGCAGGGCATGTCGGGTCATCCATTCCAATCATCTGCGACGGGTTATGCTCACAGGGGGACAGGACGAGCATTGCACGTTGTCGCGTATCACCATGCCCTTGACTCGAGTGGATCCCTTTGTTCAGGCCGGGTAGAAGAGAAGAGAGGATGATACCGCGATTCCCCAGGACCGGCATCGTATTTGTTTTTTTTATTGCAGATCGAGGGCTGTTCATTCCTTTTGCTTCAAAATGCATGTTTGCATATGTCTGTGTATGTATCTGTGTCTGTGTAATTCCACCTGTAGCACAAGACTCGACGCCGAGTCAAAGCGGCGTATATCCCCCGCGTGTTGTCAGGGGGTCAAGTTATGGATGAACATTCCGGGGGGTTTGAAGGATTCCTGATGACGGAGAACCAAAAGCCAAGCTCATAACAGGACAAGGCTACGACCTGTGGAATTTCCGACGGTCAACTTAAGGGTTGGCGTTGATTCAAATAAAGAGGGGGAAAGTGTCGAGGCCAAGCTTTGCTCTTTGCTCCCCCTGAGTCGGAGGACCCGCTCGGGATTGGCTTGCCCCTCTGATCCTAAATTGTCTCGCGTCTAATTAGTACTCCGTAGTACTCCGTATTGCCCCTGTTGTTCTTTTTCTGGGAGAATTATACAACCCTTGTACATGACTTTCAATGTGCTGGCGGTATTGGGTTCTGAAAATGCCCCAACCTTGGGCCCAGCCAACTCGGGTCTCTATATGTTGTAGTAATGCCCGACGCAGAGCCTCAACGTTACGATATACCGTACAATATCCAACTCGAAGGCTTGTATGAGCTGGCAAGGCTATGTTTTAAATTGTCTATATGTTGTAGTTATGTACCTTTCATGCGCCACGCGTCTAGTGGACACTCCAGCTGGCGTGGCTGTGAAGTGGACAATACCTAGACCTGGGTACGAGTCATACGGCGGAGAACACGCGCTAGCCTACGCATTCCCTCACTCAAGTGTCGTGGCTCTTCCCACGCAAAACAGAGGCGCAGATGATCTGCAAACTCCTCATCGGGCACCTGCGGGTCTCCCGGGATCTGGAAAACATGCCCCGGCGATAAACGCAGATTTTCTTCGCTCAGCGCTGCCTGGGCTACGTCGGCGGCGAGCAATGGCGCTGGTAGACCAATCCAAATGAAGTAACCTCCGGCCGCGGCAGCGGTTGGTGGGGCTGTGACGCCCAGCGGGACGAGATGTTCGTTGATCCCTGCTAGCAGGGTGTGGTAGCGCTCGGCGTATTTCGGCTGGAGGACGTCGCGGATGTGGTTCTGAATGATGCCTGTAGGGAACATCTGGTCAATGACAGCGGCGCACAATTGAGAGGGAGCGCCGCCCGATCGGGAAGAGCCTCTGCAAGCGATATCGGGTCAGTCTGCGATTCCATATCCGAGAAGGGGGGTGGTCAGTCAAGTCATCCCAGCAGTGCCCCGTACGTTTGTGACAATCCATAGGCAACCTTTTCGGAAGCCTCCGCCCAGCCGGTGCGGGCACCAGGCCCGATCAGCTTGCTGAAACTGCCGTTACTCAGTGCGTGTCCCCATTCATCCTGTGGACCACCGTCCAAGTAGCGGTCCACATCAACAATGCGCGGAACACATGCGCGGTCCCCGAAATTCTCCTCTCCCTCCGGCTTGGCCGACCACTGAAGGAAATCATACACATCATCCGTCACGATCAGCGCGTCGTACTTCCGGGCGAGACGAACGAGCGCCTCCCGTCTCCGCAGCGACATAATCTTCCCTGAGGGATTCGCAAAAGTCGGCACAGCATAGATGACATGCTTGTAGATTTTGCGCCAGGGCCTGGGCGGTTTCATTTTCTGCAGGGAAAGAGGGGCAGTATCAGTCCGGAACTCAACAAACGATGGTACAGTGGCATGGCACAGTGACTGCACTCAGTCATGGGATCAGGACTTGTCCTACCGGCTCGGTGTTCCCAGCGCGCAAGGCGATTTCCTCCGCAGCGCGCAAACCGCTCTCCAGCACCGCGATGTCGATGCCCTCGTCATCTTCGGGGATCCCGCGTAGGCGCCCGGCGAAGCCCGAGTCCTCCATGATGCGCGCGGCCAGGTGGTACGTCGGTGCGACCATCCATACATTCCGCGTGTAGACCGGGTCTGTGAAGGTTTGCAGCACGCATGCTAGGTTCTGGCTGGCCCCGCCGGAGATGCAGATGCGCTGCGCTGAGACCGGCTCGCGGGGCTGATAGAAGTCACTCAGCCATGCGGCTATATGTGTGCGCAGCGGTCCGTACCCTTCGTCGGGGCCGTAGAGGAGAGCTGGGTTTGCAATGGAGGGAGTGGATAGTACGGTCGTAGCGGAGTCGGAAAGGATGGAGGCGGGGAGGAGCGCGGGGTTGGGCCAGCCGATTTGGAGGTCAATGGGCTGGTCGGGGAAAACGGTGAGTGTCATGACGAATAGGATGTCAATTGGAGGTCATGAATATCATATGCGTGTATATTGAACCCAACTAGTATTAATGCTTGGGTAAGAGCTTGGGCTTCCACGGTTAATGTGGCGAGGTGGGCACCGATGCATCCGAGATCGGGGATTGAATGGTTCCAGGGGGTTAACAGGCACAGGGACGGTATTGGCTGATATCTATGTAGAGGCCAGGAATAGCAGCGTCCTCCATGTATGATGTATTGTCAGAAAATAAAAAATAAGAACATGGTAAAGTTGTAAGCACCCGGTATCATGGATCGAGTATAAAAATGAAAGGAAAAAACAAAAGAACACGACGGCTGCATGATTCGAACATGCGCCTCCGAAGAGAATTGATTTCTAGCTGTTGGAATTGTTAGTGAATGTTGGTGGGTTTATTGGTGTGAAGAGAAACATACTCAATCGCCTTAGACCACTCGGCCAAACCGCCATATTAGATAGGTAACCCGCCCCAAATGTGTATCATAGAGCTAATAGTATTTGTGTATGCTACGCTGGCTAGCCTTAATAGTTCTGGCTACAAATAAATACTAGGAACTCTTGCGAAACATATCGCCATAAGAAATAAAACCTTAGTAAGCTAATAAGCTCAACGGAGTTGTTTCTTCCTAGATAGCTCGAGGGCTATAGTAAATTTAGGATTAAGCAAATTCTGTTAATTACATCCATGTACATACTCCGTACTCCGTAGCGGCAAAACCATAAAAAAGATTGTCAGAAATTGTCAAAAAAAAAGGATACAGCACGACGGCTGCATGATTCGAACATGCGCCTCCGAAGAGAATTGATTTCTAGCTGTGGAGATGGTTAGTGAATGCTGGTGGGTTATTTGTGTGAGAAGAGAAACGTACTCAATCGCCTTAGACCACTCGGCCAAACCGCCGTAATTGATGACAAATCATGTTCATAACGCATTCATAGCTCTGCTAGCAATAGATAACCATGTCAAGATATCAGTTCACAAATTTAGTAGCAGAAACAAGTAGGAATCTATCGCTTTATGAAAAATAACATTGGATGCTCTTGATTTAGTACTGAGGTCCTACCTGGGCAGTTCCAAGGGTTTAATGTTGCTCTCTTGTACTGAGATATATCCATAGTGGGTACATGTGTAGATATTGTAGTACAGTATCTTCCAAGGTTTTAAATTTCCCATCACTTGGGCTGCGCACCTACCTAGGTACTAGTAGGAATCCATGGGTATAACTCGATCGTACTAAGCGTGGAATATATCTCAGCTAGATGTCACTCAGCCCAGGGATCACGCCTGCTGACCCGACATGGTACCTACTAGGTACTAATACAAAAGTGCAGAGACACTGGGGAATAATAGAGGTTCTAAGGTTCAATGGTCACGGTGTCTTTAGTAATCCATATGAAATATGAACAGGCTATTGACTACCTGGTCTTTGCCTCCCCATTCTAAGTCCTGACTATATGACGAATAATAGCACACTACAGGTGATTCGTCCCCGATAATGTTACGCCTTAATTCTATATCCCAAGCCATACGGATGGCCAGGCCTTTATCAGTTGCCGAAGTCTGGTTGAAAGTAGTAAGGTGAACCCATTATATAGGTAGTTCTATGCCATATAAGAAAGAGTATCTTATATACTACCTGGCGATACCCGGTGGTATATGCAGGTTGAATAACCTAACCCCTCTCGAGGTCTCAAAGTTTGCAGTTGCTATAGTCAATTAAAATCAATAGAGCTCATAATGTTTATAGATTTAGGTCCATTTCATACGAAATTTGAACGACTCAAACCTACTAGACAAAAAGCCTACCATATCACCTGGGTAATCTTTTATACATCCTTAGCTAGACCTTGTACACACAATATGCTATGTTTCTAGGTATATATAAACAAAAATATGAAGTACTAACGGCTTTACTCCATAGATCTAATCCAAATACGAACCCAATGCCTGTAGAGCAATATATTACTACGAAACAAGAACTATCCTATTCTAAATGTACAAAGTATAGAGTACAAATGCTTTGTGCAGAGGAGCAATATTGAAAGTGGTACTCCGTACTAGGATGGGATGGTTGATGGTACATTTATTGTCCCTGGTTTATAGATCCAAATTTTTGATCCATTAATAATTACGGCGGTTTGGCCGAGTGGTCTAAGGCGATTGAGTACGTTTCTCTTCTCACACAAATAACCCACCAGCATTCACTAACCATCTCCACAGCTAGAAATCAATTCTCTTCGGAGGCGCATGTTCGAATCATGCAGCCGTCGTGCTGTTTCTTTTTTTTTTGTAATCTTTCTAATTGAGAAAATGTACTATGTATCCCCCTGGTTGTCAGAACACCCCCCTGCCTGAGAATTCAGTACTGCCTTCGTAATTTGGTTGAGTACCTGCCTCGACACTTCTTGCTTCTGCCTACCGCTCTCTTCACCGCCTCCTAATTTGTATACCTCTTTTGTATTAATCTGCATATGACAGGTACCTACATTTTATATGTAAACTCCTAGCAAGATTAAGTCACTCCTGTCATATCTTGTATCAAATGCTTCATCGTCAACTGCTTTATCAACTACTTCATTCCTCCGTAGGAATTAGTTAGAATATTGTGATTCAAATGCAAAAGTAGGCAGAATATATGGCAGAATCTGTATTTGCACCCAATTAGGAAGGCGGTATTCTATTTTAGACAAAACAAAAACTCCTACATAGGACAGACCACTTAACACTTGATTTCTCTGTACAAAGTACTAGAACAGCCACCAAAGGCTGGCCTCCTGGTACTAGTAACGTAGGACGGGTAAGATAGGAAAAAAAATAAAAGGCAAAAAAAGATACAGCACGACGGCTGCATGATTCGAACATGCGCCTCCGAAGAGAATTGATTTCTAGCTGTTGGAATTGTTAGTGAATGTTGGTATATTAATTGTCTGAGTAGAGAAACGTACTCAATCGCCTTAGACCACTCGGCCAAACCGCCGTAATTGATGGGTGGGACTGCCAAATTGTGCACAACAATCCAACACCCCATACCCTAACTCCGACTTCTTGAGAAGCGTCGGCCTCAAAACCCCCGTGTTCCCTCGATTTTCTACTATCACCCTCGGTCGCGAGTTTCCCGACTGTGCCATCAAATTTTACACGGGGGAGGGCAACTATGATATTGTCGGATTGAACTCTGTACGTCTCGTCATACTCCCTACTATTTTCTACTGATTTTCTTAAATACGGTGCATACCCTGGTATCCCCAGTTATGTCGGATCACAGCGGCATGATCGTGTTTTATATAAAGGCTTTTATTGGGTCCTTGCAAGGTGGGTTATGCTCCCTAAGCACTTTGTACAGTTATTTGTTTACTCCAACCTATGTATACACAATTGATATACGTGGATATAGTTTCCATTTCTCCTACACTCCCTATAACGCAATTGAATATGGTTACCTACCTCTCTTCTATAAATCGCGTATTTTATGGTCTCCACATCCAAGACATGCACAGCCGGGGAACCACTCGTCTCATCGTGCTCGTTCTATTATTGGCAATAGGCCGTATTATGCATCTGGCATGTATGTTGTATTCGTAAATTATTATTAAAACCGTGAAATAATAGTGAAATCTAAAAATTAAGGCTCCGATATTACCTTTTGTGCCTTTTATTCTCATTTTCTCCTGAGCTTCTCTCCCTTTTGTCATTCTCTTCCTTTCTAATTTTTCGCCTCTCGTCAGTGAACGGTGTCAGGTTTCCTGTCATTCTTCCAATCCCTCCTGCCGATCCATTCCACAACCCCCTAAACCTCCGCCTCCCCCCATCACCTGCCAAGCACACTTCATTCCCCCAGGGCTCACATGCGGGCTTAACCTTCTCTACCTCCGGGTCGCTCTCATCCCCGAAAAAAAAACCACTCATCTTCTCCCAACATCTCTATCACCCAAGATGTTGTCGGCTCCCGTTAAGTCGGCGAAGCGGATTTCGTCTCTGTTCTCGCTGGGATCGAAAGATCGGGAATCCCAATCCTCGGTTGCGTCTTCGCCAGTGTTGAATTCATCAGAAAACGCTAGCGACAAACGAAGTCGGAGCAGCTCAAAACCCACTCGCCATGTCTCAACCCCCAATGCCGTCTATGCCTCGGAGCCAAGGACCATGCCCGATAGCCTCGATATGGAGAGCCTACCCCCACCACCGTCACTGCTGGAGGTGAACCAGGATCTGGCCAACAGCGTGCCGAGTTCGCCCATTGGCCGTCCGCAGAGCAGAGGCCGTGATATGAGCAGGCCCTCCAGCTCGGCAGGGTTGACTATCCCTGGATCCAACCCAGATTCCCGCCCTAGCACACCGTCAAAGCGCAGAAGCTGGATGCCCGGTCGTTCGCGCGCCAGCTCAACCGACAAGCGGCCTGCTGCAATGCTTCCGGCTGCTTGGATAGCAGGACTGGACCAGAAGGTTGTTTATGATTTAGGTCCATTGTCCAGAGGAGAACAGGTATGCAGACGCGAAATTACTTGTTTTGAGGTGCAAACGTTAATAATTTCTTATCACTTTCCAGATCCAGGAACTGTGGAACGAGCAAGGTGACACTTATGTGTACATGTTCCCTCAGACTACCGGCCACCCTCCGTCTTTCAAGGTCGATTCCACCATATTTGCCGAATCCCCCTCTCTCACCTTTCTAGCCCGCGGAAATGATGGCAAGAGCGGCCTTGAGCAGCCAACTAGAACGATGTCACTCAATCCTGGGTCTCCTATGTCTCCCCCTATGTCACCGGTGGACCGTCAGCCCGAAAATGACAACGATAATGACAGTGCGGGAAGCCAAAGGATGGCATTCGAAGATACCCCCGAGGAAGTGCAGGAGCTCCATCTTTATCTCCCCATTCCGCTGAACTGCGATTTGTCCAACCCACAAACAAGGCTCGGTCCAGAGGACACAGAGACTCTTCTTTTGTTCCGCAACCTTTTCGCGTTCCTGCTCGGCCAGTCTTTAATC